TACTTTAAATGATCCATGATACAGACAGTTCATTTTTAGACTTGTAAATGAGTTTTCCTCAAAAATCTAAAGTAATACACACTGAATTTAAATATTAACTTTTTTTTATTTTCAAACTGTGATGAAAATGTTTGTCGAAAGATATTTTCCCACAAACTAACTTGATATTTTTCTAATTTGTATCAATATGTTTAGGGATTACTTTGTTTGTATTTAAGTATTTTATTTAGAAAAGTTTCTAGGTCAAACATGGCCCTTTGAAACATCTATTTTATTTTCTGATCAAAACACATTTTTATTGGAAGCCATTGTCTGAAAATCATTGTTACTGAATTTAGGCTACATTGACAAGTAATATCCAGAATTTGAAAGGATAATGTATTCCATCCTAGTTATAGCACATATGTAGTATTACATTTAGGTTTAGATTTTAAGAATATTGACAAATGGTAGAGAAGGGTAACCAGGGTGGTTAAGGACCTTGAGGAGTTGAAGGTGGCACTGGCCTCATATCTATGTAGCTCTGGGTAAGTCAGTTTCCTTATCTGTAAAATAAGGAAGTTGGCCTTTATGACCTCCAAGATCCCTTCCAACTTTAAAATCTATCAGCCATTGATCAGTCAGGAGCTTATGCTCCTGAGGAACAGGAGTGGAATGGATAGAATCCATGAGTAGAAAGGTTAGCTTTGATAAGGAAGGCCATCTCATCCTCTGAGACTAGAACAAAGGAAGAGAGTGTGTTTCAAGACAGAGTTTCAAGGCATGGAATATGAGAAGAAAAGAACCTCCAGAGAGATAGCCTCAGTGTCCTCAGTAAAGTAGGAAGTAAGTTTATGAGCTGATAGACTTTATTTGGGTTGATGTTGGAGTTTTGAGAGAAGAGGTTGTTTGGGTTTGACTTGTTCTTTTTATCCTTCATTCTTGAAGAGGACCATGACATCAGGAGGGTGATGCCATGACTTGAAAATGAATTGGATTTAAGTGAGGGAGGGCTGTGCAAAGTCACCAGCCTCACTTTCTCCTCTGAGGCCATCTGGGTCCAGTGGCAAGATATAGATCAGGACAATTGGAGATACTCCCCTCACCCCCAGATGCAGTGGGAGACCTTGTCCTTTTTAAGTTAAGGTCTTTCCCAGGTCTCAGTTTGACTGAGGCAATGCCCATTCAGTGATTAAGAGTAGGTAAGAAATGAGGCAAAGAATGGTCCCTCTTTCTAGTCAAAAAAAAAATCAATCTGGGAGGGAAACACCCTTAGGGTTTCTGGCCAGAACTGCAACAATTGAATTTGACTAATGTACTGGTGAAGGAGAGATCTCATTTGACCAAGGTGGTTGAATTTAGACCTCTAGAAGAGGAGATGTGGGTCTGCAATCTTAATGAATTTAAGTTTTTTGCTTTGAGCAACTCATTTCTGGTAATGATAAAATCAAATGACACTTATGTAGCACTTTACATAGTTGAAACCTGTGCATCACCTCCATAGGATTGTTGTCTGGATCAAATGAGATAATGTAGATAAAGCACTTTGCAAACTTTGAAGCACTATCCATAGTTTTCAATTAGTATGAATAATGAATCCTGTGAAGTATTTGCATTACTTGAATGTGCATTGCATATTTATTTTGGGCTGGAACCATTGACCTTATTTTACATAATTATAATTTTAAATAGGGGGATTTGAATTATGGTAAATGTATGCTATTATTATTATTTCTATTATAAGTAGTAATAGCATTATCTGTCTCATTTGACCTTCACACCAGCCTATAGATAGCTTCTGTAAGTATTGTTATCTCCATTTTGTAGAAGAAACTGAAACTCAGAGGGTATATGACTTGTCCATAGTCACACAGCCAGTTTCAGTGGTAGAATTTTCCCCCAAAGTTCTCCTGACATCCAAGTCCTGTGGTCTTAATGTTACTCCCTACAGACTCTCTAAAGTAGCTTGTGGTGCTTTCAGACTGAAAGTTTCATCAAAGAAATGTCATGGGCTTGCTCCTACCAATAAGAGAATAGAACTTGGCTCAGATTTTAGAAATAAACTATCTAAGGATCACATGTTCTTCATTCTACAGCAGAAAAATTAATGCCCTTAAAAACTACATTGAATTTAAAATGTTAGTAAAAAGTTATCTTATCATAATAATAATAATAATTCTGCCATTTATTTGTAAAATTATTTCTACCTTCCAAAAATTAATTTATATTCTGTTTTATTAGTTAAAATACATAACATTAATGGTTTTTGGTTTTGGTTTTGCTAAAAGTCAGTTCTGTTTTTAAGACCTTTATAACTTGGTAACAGATATGCTTTATCTGGAAAATATTTGTTATAGCTAATTTATGATTTTATTAGATCATCATAACAATTGTAACAGGGCATCATCTTGTCCTTTTCATATGTTTGGGTGTGTTTGCAATGTTCCTAAGTGGACAGAATAGTCATATAGATATAATAACTTCCTGTTATTAATATCAATTAGAGCATTGAAAAGGTAAATGTATCCTTACCAAAGCTGTTGGCCACTCTCATGGCCTACAACCTATACTGGATCCAAATAGATGTTTTTCCTATAGATGATAAGATCCTACAATTACTTTTATTTATGATGATATTGTGTTGACTGCATTAAGCCCCAGAATATTCCAGAGCCTTAATGTAAAGCTTGATAAATCAGCTTTACAATCCATATAGGAAAACTGATTTATATGTATTAGCTCCTTTTGAGTAGGGCTTATTTCATTACTTATGTTTGTATCCCTAGAACCTAGCAGAGTTCCTTGCATATAGTAGTTGCTTAATAAGTGCTTGTCGAGTACTTGTTGAAAATTGTCTTTTTTTCTAGACTGTGATACATAGAGGAATAACTATTCCTTTGAGTATGGGGTTGTGTGTGTATGTGTGTGTGTACCCACACACATATATATGTATGTGTGTATGTACATGTGTATGTGTGTGATACACACACATACATAACTGGAATCTATCCTGCATTTAGACTGTGATGTGCCCAGAAGTAAGTAGAACAGAAGATTGCATTTGTGAAAATGTCCAGTGTTTTAACAATCTCATGCTGCTACTTAAACAAAAATCCATCTAAATTTTCTCTGGGTGGTGCCTTAAGTTTGCAAATTTTATTATCGTCAAAGAATTAAATTTTCAGGCAACCTGAAGGGTAACGAAGAGAGATGTGGTGAGTACGCAGCAGCATGTTTCCAGTGGTGATCTATGTGTAAGAAGTGGTATAATATAAGGGATAGTATAGAGGAAATGTTTGATCCAAAAAGAAGGTAGGCTAATCACATGACAAAAGCCACAGAAAATAGATGGACAACCTGAGTATTCTCCTTGGAACTCACTAAATATGGAAAGACCTAGTGGAAGTAGAGTATGTTTAGTGGATACTTTGTGGAAGAAGGCTATGCATGAATTGCAGTTTGTACTGAGGAAGGGAATACATCACTGAGATCCGTAATTCACTGAAATAATTGATTTGTGTGTATGTGTTATAGTGGGGGGGGGCAAGAGAAACAGAGAGAGAGAATGTGTTCATGCTTTGTTAATTTTTAGGGGAAAGTAAGTACTTTTATCTTTAAAAGCATGATATTTAAACCTTTAGTATAGCATGATAGGGCTTACAGACTTCCATATATTTGAAATATACAGAGTGTTTTAAACTAAACTGCTCTAAGCCTTTTGGAATACCCTGTATATTTCAAATGTATTTTGTATAGCTTTATCAAAATATTGTCATGTCCATTAAAAATACAAGTAGAATGAAAGTATACAATATTGGCAGGGATATTGGCCACATCCTTTCAACAACAGCCTCATCTCCCCTTTATCTCACCTGTGTAAATCTGATTTTGATAAGAAGGTAGGGAAGAAGAAAGAAAGAGAGAGGGAAAAGTGATCACCTGGTCATCCTCCGGGTGGGTGCCATAGCTACTTGTTGGATAATAATTGTTATTTTTCAATATATCCTAATTTTTTTTATACTGTCAAAGAAACTTCATCATAAGTACGGAGCCAGCATTCAGGGCAGCCTATATTGTGGCCATTGTGGCACTTAAAATACCATATGGGTTTAAGTTTCCAGCACAATGATTATGCCTTTTTGTTTTCATTTGTTTCTTTTAATCATGTTCATATATGGTATCCCAGAAGTCTTAGTGCATTTTAAAGCTACTAAAGTTTTGAAATGCTCTAAGATTTTGGGATATCTTATTCATATTTTACAAATTCTTTAATGAAGTTGAGCATATTTTTAGATAAATCTTAATGGCATCTTTTGACAGTTGATATGTCTTTCTGTTCTTGATACAGTAATGATTGTGTCATCAGTGTTGATAAGTGCAGAAAATTTTACTGTTACCACTAATGTTATAATCAGCTTGTCTTCTCTGCACAAGAAGGGAGTAAATGAAATTTGCTTTAGGAATATAAATGGAATTTTCACCAAGAATGAATTTTACACCTTAACTAAGGTCATAAAATGCATTCAAATGGGCATTTATTTTTAGAAAACTTAATAATAATTTAGGGACTTAGCTAAGAATTTATAAGCTTTTTGACAATTCACTTCAAAAGTAAATTTTATCCAAAGTAATATATTTTATTGTATTTAAATTACATGTGTGTAACTGTGTATATATGAGTATTTGGGAAAATGTTTTAAATACCTGAACTTAAATCATCTGCCCAATTCGTTTGGAAATAGTGCTTTATTATATTATACACATATATAATTTAATAATTGCAAAGCATGTAATTTAGTTAATTTGAATGAATTTAAAATCATAATCTGGTTAGGAGTGGCAAGGGAATTGTTGGTGAGGGTGGGGGTTGGAATGGGTTAAAAAAGGAGTGGAGATAAATTTTCCAGCCCCATAAATGAAGAGGAGTCATTGTTCATACTTTTAAGTTGAATTATTTTTGTTCAATTCAGTGTTTCCATTTTGTGAGCTTTTCCATGTATATGCAAAATGTTTCTCCTCAGGCCCCCTTGTATTTCCTGGTCCTATTTTTATGAACCATCGAGAACAGGCTCTAGCCAGACTCAGACCCCATCCAGCACAACTAAAGCATAAACGGGACAAGCACAAAGGTATTTGGTCTTCCTTACTGACTAGGGTGGGGCATTTGCCCCATTTCCTAGTTGTTTCTTCCATATGCCTAATTTTATTCTTGGAGATATGCACAAAACTGATTCTCCTGCTTCACTTCTGTCCTTCCTATTTAACCTGAGGAGAAAGAAAGCACATAAAATGCTAAGCTGCTCTAAAAACTTTGCAAATGTCATGTTTTCTTTTTTCATGTTTTAGTTTTCCTTGATAAAGCCATTTTGTCGTGTGTCTTTTTTCTTCTCCGTTTCTCCCCAAATTTCACAAAGCTAAGCGATGGTGAAGGAAATGATCATTCTTTTCTGGTTTTTGTGTCTGTGTAACTCACTCTTAAGTGACTAAAGACTGGCATTTCACTGTCTCCATTTTTCTTATTTGCATGCTGTTCATTTACTTCAAAGTTACTAAGGTATTGATTTCAATATATAAGATCTCAATAAAGTACATATATGAGTTCTATATATGTAGGTGCATAAATTTATTCACATATATGATACTATTTTATTGATTTCTTATCACTTGAACAAGAAGACTTTTGTTAGTGCTTTAATGAGGAGAAGACATACTCATCTAAATCAACAGTATAACTAAATATATGTTTTGTATATAAATTTAGGTAAATAAGTTCCGTAAAATAACGATTACAATAAAAATACAGGGCATCTAATTATGACTTGAAAATTCATTTCAACAAATCATACATATAGATGGAGCATATTTTAAAATATACCTGAAATTATTGAAAAAAAATAGTAAATGACCAAGAAAACCCAGGAATAGACAAGTTTCCTTTGGTAAATATTAAAAAACATACTGACAAAATAAACCTGTAAATATAATATTTTAAAATTCATTTGAATAACTATAGAGATGACTCTATAGGTGACAGCCATGATAGTGGAAGGAGGTCTCATGCAATGGACTTAGGCTGACTCTGGGAATTGCTTATATATACACTAAAGAATTTCGGATATTCCTTGCATTATAGATGATAAGGCTGGAAGGAGTTAAGTTATGCTCTGGTCTATTTCTACAACTAAAGATCTACTGCTGAAATGTGTTGGGTGCTTTAGAGATTTGGTAAATTAGAATCGTCTTGTTTCTGGGATGCTGTCTTGGTATCCTGGGGGACTGGATTACACATGAATTCCCCTGAAACATTTTAGCACTCACAAATCAGGGACTACCTGAGTTTTAGGAGTGGTGAGACTGTCTGTTCTGGACTTGCAGTCTGGGTGAAAGATAATGAATCCTAGAGTTTCTCAGATTGATTTAAAAGAGTTCTTGTAAGTTAGAAGGTAGGCTCTACATAGCAAAGAGTACTTAAACAAGTATTTCTTGAACAAATTCAGCAAACTAAAACACAAAATATTAAAAAAACAAACATGTAGTATATAGGAATAAATCAACTATGATTGTTTTTGCTAAAATATGCTATGTTATGGGTTAAAATAATTCCATTTTAAAAAGTTTTACTTGAAATTTATCATTATTAAAAATTCTTTTTTTAAATTAATGTATTTATTTTTAGTTTTCAACATTCACTTCCACAAGATTTTGAGTTCTCTTCATCTTGTCGCAATCCCCACCCCAAGATGGCATGCATTCTGAATACCTCTTCCCCTAATCTGCCCTCCCTTCTCTTGTCCCTTTCTCCTTCAATTTTCCTGTAGGGCAGGATAGATTCCTATACCTCATTTCCTGTATATCTTTTAAATATTCTTTTTTAAGTATGTCACTGCCATAACTAAATTTGTGATTCAAAGCCAAGAAAACTTATTAATGTCTTGGTACAGTTAATGCAAATACAGGTATATTATGTAATTAGTTGTATGTTTTTCTGTTTACTCATCCAGTGTTCTGGAAATAACATTTTTTTAATATAATGTAAAATTCATAATTATAATAACTGCTATTTCTAAAGGACTTTAAAGTTTGCAAAGTGTTTTATATCCCTATTTCATTTGAACCTCACAACAACAAACTTGGTACAGATAAGGAAACTGAGTTTCAGAGTGTTTAAGTGATTTGCCTATGGTCAGATGGCTAGTAACAAAAATGGGATTTAAACCCATGTCTTCTGGATTCTAAGTTCAAATCTCTCTACTATACTACACTATCTTTTATGGAATTGTAGCACACAAAATTTAATTATTGTAAATTATTTTCAGAATGTGTCCCTTTTATATTCTTTTTTGTCCTTCTGTAAAATAAAAGATCTTAGCATTTTTATTATTTTTAGCTTATTTTCATATAGAATTCTTATTTAACTCTGCCTATAGTTGAATAAATGTAGAAACTGGTGTTTTATTCATTTAAATGGCAATTTCTTATAAAAAATACTTTTATTATTTGGCATGATTATGGCATTTTAAAATGAAATTCTGCAATTGAGACCTAAAGTACAGCTATGAAAATATACAACTATCTATTTTTAACATCATGTGTAAATCATCTATTTTCTCTTTTAGGAGTAATCTGTAAGTATAGTAAGATCCTGCACTATAATATCCTGTCTTCAGGCTTCATACCCTAGCACTGCCTTATGATGAGGTCCACTTGCAATGCCAGTAACAGAATCCTTCAGTTTCCAAAAGGATTTGTTGATTTCTGTTGTGAGGTGAATAATAGATTTTAGAGACTGTAGAATATATGAGATATTAAAATTGGATAGGTAAATATTTTTATAACACCTTAATCTCATTTAAAATGCCACTAAGGGTTACCTTATCACTTAACAACCCAGGTGTGCGTGATTTAGCACTCATTAACCTTATACAAACCAATGCTGGAGAAAGATAATATATGAGAATGCAAAAATTTAGTGGAAATGTTTACTCAACAACCTATTCCTTGGATGCTTCCCCACTCTCTTATCCACATTGTCTTCCTAGCCATCCAGTGTCTCTACCTACAATTTTTGTTTTATATTCACAAACTCACTGTTTTCTGTTAAAAACATATTATAAAGATGACTTAAGCTTTCTGTACTCTGCCATTTTTCACTGAGGATAGAACATGCAGGTCAAATGTTTGGGGTGGGTTCCATATATATTATATATGGCAAAGCTAAAGTCCACAGAGTTCGTGGTTTGCCCTTGGTAACAAGAGACAAGTTTGATACTCAAATAAACAGGCAACCCAACTCTACATGTATTACCAGGAGCCAGACTTGGGAAAATAAAATATGCTGCCATGCCACTAACTAAGTTTAAATATAGTTTCAAAATTGTTTTAGCGTTATTTTTCAGCAAAATCCCTTACTAACAACACAGTTTCTGTTTCAATAATGAATAATTTTTCTCATTCTACTTGAGAAAAAAGTTTCTGAACACAACCAATTATCAACATCTAAATTTCCCTAAAAATCCTTCTGATTTGGAAAATCAAAAAGACGAATTAGTGGTAAACAGTTATATCTATATTTTACATATTCTATGGCAAAGTTCATTTGTTTCTCATAACAGTTGAATACTACTCAATTCTAAAACATACAAAATGATATTGAGTTATCATTTAAAGATATCAGTAATGGTGTTGCCAGCTTTATAGCATAGAAGCTATACATTCATATAAGTAGTATTTAGGATTTGTAGTAATGATCATATATCTGATATCTGAATATATATGATATGAATATTATAATTTATAGTAATGAATATGATATTCATGCTACATGAATATATGAACTACATATTGGTACACATACACATGTACATTCACATTGGTATATACATCTGTATGTATATACATGTACACAGATGCACACATGTGTACATATGTATATTCATACATATATACTACCAAATAGATTAATAAGTATCCAAGCCAGAATTTGAAGACTGGTTGGTTCTCTGACTTGATATGCAGTACACTTTATGCTATACCATTCTGCTTCCCAAGATTATTTTTATGCACAATTTCTTGAACATGCACTTAAATGCACTAAATGTTTATTGTCTAGAATGAAGAGTCCAGTTGGCTTTTTTGTTTTCTCAGTTATGCATATCATGTGTGCAGCCCAAGATTAAGATTGGATCTTTTTTAAAAATAAATTTAATATAAAGGTAGAAGAAATATAACAATGCTAAAGCAGTCGTAGGGAGGCACAAAACACTCCTGGTGACTGAATCAGTTATGTACTCTAAACCTGAATTTAAGAAAATATACATGTTACCAGAAAGGGGATAGAGACTGGTACTGGACCCATAATTTCTTTGATGTAGGGAATTTGTACATGAAGAATCTCCCTCTACCAATACAACTTGGTACCATCTCTGCAACTGATAATCTTACAGAGTTGTCTAGAACACTGATAGGTTAAACAGGATCAGCCAGTTCATGTCAAAGGTAGGACTTGAAGTAAGATCTTCCTGTTTGGGAGATCAGATCCCTATCCACTATGCCATGAATGTCAGAAGTATTTGTAGTCTAATGACAATTATAAAATTAGTGCTATTCAAATTCAGGGCTTTTTTTGTATTTATGTATAAAATAGTTGCCATAGAATTTTAGAATTGGAAAAGACCTTACAGATCTTAGCTATCTCCTCACTTTACAAATTTAGAAACTGAGGTCCCAAGATATAAGTGACTTTACCAATTACCACGCAGCTAATTAGTGAAAGAGCTGAGACTAAATCCCAGATCTTAATATTTCCATATGTCCTATTTCATATATTTGGGAAAAGAACAAATTTTAATTTTGTTTTCCATAATATGTACATGTGTATCATAAACACATGCAAGTAACATGTATATATTATATAAGAAAAGGTCTAAAATATTTTGTTTCTTTTAAAAAGACCACCTGTTATGAGGTGTACAACATCAGCCCAGGATAAATGGTTGTAATGTTAACAAAGAGAAAACAGAATTATTCAGTTCCGATTTTGCTTTTTTTTTCTCAATCAAGAATAATCTGCAGTGCAAAAGGTAAGCCAAACATAATTTAAAAAAAGGGATTTAAGGACCTAGATAAATGA